GGGGTGTTCAGCCTGGAGAAGAGGAGGCTCAGGGGAGACCTTCTCACCCTCTACAACTCCCTGACAGGAGGTTGGAGTCAGGTGGGGGTTGGTCTTTTCTCCCAGGCAACCAGCAGCAGGACAAGAGGGCACAGACTCAAGCTCTGCCAGGGGAGGGTTAGGTTGGATATTAGGAAGATATTTTTTTACAGAGAGAGTGACCAGACACTGGAATGTGCTGCCCAGGGAGGTGGTGGATTCACCATCCCTGGAGGTTTTCAAGCTGAGACTGGATGTGGCACTTGGTGCCATGGACTAGTGACCAGAGTAGGGTTGGACTTGATGATCTTGGAAGTCTCTTCTAACCTGGTTGATTCTATGATTCTATTCATGCCACCATGTATGTGTATATACTATCATGTATATTGAGATACCATCACATGTGTTGATATTTCATCATATATATTACTATACCATCACACTATTGATATCATGTCTAAGAAGCCCAACCTGATTCCTCTAGATGTATCCAGTTTCCTATGTCAGATAGTATAGGCTGTTCCTCCTCTGCACAGAGGTTTAACATCTGTCATTCCTTTAAAGGCTGAATAGATATTACAGCATTATGGGTTTCTAATAGATTAAGAAGGTACCACATGTCAGGCATTACCCTGCTTTGCATTTTGATATGTGGCAAGCAGGGACTAATCCTGCATCTTCTCAGAGCAAAGATACCACGGGGATAATTTTGGGTTTGTTTTTTTTTTGCTATGAGAATGAAATTGTGCTAAAAGGAGTTTGTTTCAATACTGAGGGGCGTTAAATCTCATTTAATTAATTCTCATTATTAATGATACGTTATGATTATTCCATTTTGTTAATTAAATCTCAGTGAAAGGGGAGATTAAAACAGGGGTTCTACAGCAGGTAGCGAAGCCTTGAAGTCAACGCAGACTTTGAAGGTGGAGGTATTGTTGTGAGCTGTGAACACCGTGTTTGGGGGTGTGAAATTCCATCAGAGAAAGCGAAAATAACTCTGGCTTTCCATTCCCTTCTTCAAAGCCCTGCGAAGGGAAGTTGGGCAGAAGCTGGGACAGGAAATTGAAATCTGAATACTATTTTAAACTGATGGGGTTAAAGGCCTCTCTTTTACACTCGCACACTTGTTCTTTTATTTGATACTTGAACTCTGAAAATTTTCTGTGACTTTCTAGGGAGAAGGAGGAGCAGCTGAGGCGGGTGACGGAGGTACAGAGGCTGCAGGCCCAGCAGGCAGGCGCTGCCCTGGAGGAGTTTAAGCGGCAGGTGGAGCTGAACTCAGAGAAAGACTCTGCTGAAATGAAACAGCGGGTGAGGAGGTCACAATGCCAGCCTTTCTGAAACTCTGGCACAGTGGGATAGCGAATTCTGATCTTATAATACCAGAAACATGCTCCACTTGAGAGTGCTACATCAAAATCTTTCACAATGTAGTGTCTTTGCTGGCAAGTCAGAAAGGGATGGTGGCAGTTGTTTCATCTTTCTAACAAAGCCCAGAATTGTCATTGTTATAAAGATATCTGCAGTTATGATACTGATTAGGGATTTTGCAGGAGTGAGAGTATAAAGTGTTAGTTTATACACCCTGTGGAACAACGTTTGTCGTTTTCCACTTAAATGTGTCTCTTCCTACTCTTTTCCGGACGACTCTGTCTTCCGTTAATGAGCTCCTGTAATCAGTTTGAGCCCAAACAGGGGCAGAGCCATTGTGGCTGCTCCAGTCATGTGCAGGGGATGGAAAAAAATCCACTTTTCTATCCCTGAAAATCAGGGCTTGATGTGATTTATGTAAAAGAAAGATTTTAGTGGCTTCAATTTCTTATGGAGCAAACAGTATTTAAACTGCTTTTCCTGGGACTTTGTAAGTGCAGCCCAAGGAGTGAAATAATGAATAAGCAACAGGTGATTAAAAAAGGAGGGGAGAGAAGGGATATTTCCTTCACTCCCTCACGTGGTTGGAGATCTGCAGATTTAACTCCAGGCTGTAATTCTGCCTGTCCATATACTCTGTGTTCCAAAGTCACTGTTGTAAGCAAACCTCACTGTGCCAGGAAGATTCTCCAGTCTGGTACTGGAATGGATTGCTGAGGATACTGCCTTAGAATTGAGGCAATTGTGTTTTTATTGTTCCCTTTTTTTTTTCCTGAAAATCTTCAGTGCTGATACTTTTAAGACCCATGCAGACAGCAAATAACACTAAAAATAAATTTAATAAATCATGAGCAAACTTACAAAAGCAAGAAATGTAAAGCAAACCAGACCACAAATCCTACCATTTTAATCTGACATTTTCTGTACCATGTGTGTCTCCTGCAACTTCTTGATGACTTAAAGTAATATCCTATTTCTGCTCCAAAAGGGATGTAGTCTAATTCTAGAAAGACTAATAATAGTTTCATTCACTCTAAAAAACCTTCAGCAAAGAAAACCAAACCAAAGAAAGCACAAAAGAATTTGCAAGACTTAATCAATTGTCATTTTAAAATGACAGTAAATTTCTCCTAGGATATTGCTGTGTTACAGGAAATTTGGAAGCGAATTTGGCTGTACTCCATGAATCAGCTGTAGGTTTACCCTGTGCATGCTAAAATCTAGAAAAAGTAAATGATATTGTATGATTAAGTAGTGCTGATCTACAGGAACCATGGTCGAAGGAAATACTTCAAGGGAGCACTAGTGGAGTTGTCTTCATAGCTTTGGCCTTTCTCATTCTTCTGCACACACATTCTCTTCAGATAAATCACCTGATACATTGGAGCACACTGGAAAATTCTACGTTTTGTGGTTAGGTGGGATGTGTTACTTATGAAACAACAATGGCAGTAGCTATAGCAACACTGTTCTGTAACTGCATTGGAACTACTGAGCTTCCCAAACCGTTTCTGGTGCGTGATAGAGTTAATTATGGAGATGAGTGGGATGGGGTTTGGCATTTTCAGTTGTTGTAATCAATATTTGATTCATTAGTTTGGGCCTATGATATTTTTCTGCCATCTGCTTCCTATTTCGTTAGGCATGTGCTTATTAGGAGTCACCTGGTGCCCACTGATGGGTGAGAGGCACATTTTTACTGCAAGAGCTGCAAAAAGAGAAACAATACATAGACTTGCTCATGGTACTTTAGATCTGGGGATTTCTGAGTTTGGCAAATAATGATCAAGAGCCTTTATTGCACTTGTAGAAAATATATGAATGTGATCTAACGAGTAAACCACAAAGGCAGTGGATTTGAAGCATCTTTACATATGTTTTTACTATTTCACGTTTTAGAATGTTTTCATTATCACAAAAAAAACCAAACCCCAAAAAATTACCTTTAATACAGTAACAAGATCTTTCCTTTTTCTGGGTTTTATTAACCTGAGTAAAATAGGGCCATGGATGTGTAATTTGGGCAAGTTTGGAGTTGTAAGAAATCACTCATAAAATATTCATTCAAATCCCTTTTCTTAATGGCAGGTAGTAGCAGTGAGGTTCAGGAGCTGCTTCCTTTCTATTCTATTTTTCTACTTTCTATCTGGCCAACTGCTCCTAGTCCCGTACCTTCCTCTCGTGCTCAAGTACTTTTCAATAAAATGCTTTTCCCACTCTGAGTATTGCCTTTTCTCCTCTTTCCTGGCTTGGGAGTGATGTCCAGGCCAATTGGCACAGACATCTGTTGAAGGCTGAGCACTCCCTTAGGCCAAGCAGGATTTTGGCTTGTGGTGCAGGAATTCTTGTGTTTCTGCTTTTTGCACAGCAGATGGGTTTGTGGCAGCACTGATTCCCTGGACTGCTGCACCTCTTCTCTGCTTTTTGGGGAGACCTTTTCAGGGAGAGTTTATTCTCTGCTTGGGACCTAGATCTAAATGTGGTTGAAGTCTATGCACTGCAGCACAGTCCTGTGTATCTGTACATTCCCCTAGAAACATGCCTGATGTAGGGCTAACACTTGTGCTTTTGATACAAAAGCCTTTGTTAATTGAGTTGTGAAATTGCCTCCTTGATGCTGTGCTGGAATCTGTGGGGCTCATTATTCACAGCTGATGACTATCTTCAGAGAACTTTACTTGCAGCCAAATAAGTCTCTTTTAAGTTATTTTCTGATTTAATGTAAACTTAAAGTGTGTAGTTTATGCACTGAACTCGCCCATGATTTCCCTTGGATTTCCACAGGCTGTGTGTTTTTGAATAAAATATATTTGAGTCTTAAATATGTCTAGAAAAAATATTCACTTAGTTTTGATGGTCCATTCACCACGGTGGAGTGAAAAGCTGAGCCAGTACTTGGTGATCAGGGAATGGTATGACATAGGTGATCACTGCAGCCTAGTAATTCTCTAACAACTGAATATTCATTTTCACTATACACAAATGTTGTTATCATTCTCAACTAGTGATATTCACCTCTTTGATGGTTTGCAAGCAACTGTAGAAACGTCAGAACATTTCAAGCTATGCTTTTTTTAAAAAAAAATAAAAATTAAATATTCCCTTTGTTTTCCCATGTAGATGGCAGAGGTTGAAGCAGATCTAAGCAGATCAAAATCGCTCCGGGAAAAGCAAGCCCAGGAATTCTCCAGGCAGATGGAAGAGCTCAAGCAAAGATATGAACAACAGGTCAGTTGCTTTGCTCCTACAGGCAGAGGGGAGGAGGAACACCACTCCTGCAGCTGTACATCAGCTCCTGTGGCAGGGTTAGTCCTCTTCTCACTGACCGTTGCTGTCCTGTCAATAGGGACATGGTTTATAGGTGTCCAGACTTTGTGTGATGGAGAGGGAAGAGCCTACATAGAAAATATTTTTGTTTCCTCTTTGCAATTCTTTGTACCTCCGACTCTTTCAAATACTTTCCCAGGCTTACAGGTGTCAACACCTGTTTTCTTAATCACCAGATGAAATTATTTCATGCATTATCTGTTTGTCTTTTTGTCAAGGAGCAGTGGTTTTTTCTTTTCATCGTTTCAACCTGGGGAGTGTTCAGATGAATGCTTGTTTTGGCCCACTGGTAGTGGTTTTCTTCATTGTAATGTAATTTCAGGGTTGGGAAATGTTCAGGAAACATTTGGGTGGGGACAAGAAAGTTGAGTTCAGTAGTGTTGTGAAGGGTAAAGGGGAAAACCAGAACTAGAGGTAGACAAATTATTGCCTTGTATAGGCTGAAGAACTGTGCAGCTGCATCAGCCCATCAGACCCTGCAGTAAGATCATAAAGCTAAAGTGGCCTCTGTTGATAACACTTGCTAAAGGACTGGAAGGTTTTTTTGAGTACTTGATAGGAATTATGTGATTAATCCATGAGTTCCCTCTTCTCAATGTCTTTGTGTGGATATAAGTTTGCATTTCCACCAGGGAAATGCAGTTTCCTTTCTGTTTATCCTTTGTGCTGTAAGAGGATGAGACACAGCAATTGGCTTTGGTGTGAGACCTGCTCTGGTCCATCTGGAAGGGACTTTTTCAGGGAATTAAGGAACAAGATCACTTTGGTAGGTGTCGAGAGAGACCTTTGCTGTGCTTGGGAGGAACAATAGTGTGTTTTGTGTGTGGCTCTCTGAAGAGAAGGAGGTTTGTTGGATCAGATCAAAGTATTTTCCCTGTCCTCACGCTGAATTGTGAGTGTCACCAATTGCATTGCCATGTCACACAGGTGAGAAGTTGTCTCTGGAATGCTGAGGTACATCTCATAGGTGTTTAACTTAACTGGGTGGTGTTAGCTGTGGTTCCTGTCCTGAAGGGTTCAGGAGCAGTTGGGGTTGCAGAGGATTTGTGGAGTTTTCATTCAATCTAATTTTCACATCATTTTAGTGGTGTGGTTGGCTCACTTCTTTCTTTACAGTTCTCTTAATTTGTGGTACATCTTCAAAGTCCAAAGTAGGCATTTAGTCAAAGATTTTCTTCCCAGGTTTAGGAACATGATTTATAGAGATAACACCTGAGACTCTGCAGATTAGTATTTATGACATTCCTGTTCCTGCCTACAAATGGTCATTTTTTTCTTTCACTATCCATGGTAAGATCTACCAAGACAGATAAAATTTTCTGCCAGATACTCAGCTGACTTTGCACACTACAAATAATGTCTCATATTGCCATGGTTTGGTTTGATGTGTGTTCTTGTATCCTCTTTCCTGTTATATTCAGACCTTCTGGAGACTGGATCAAAAATCCCACAGACCAAGAAATTAACATGAGAGTTAAAATTCAGACCTTCTGGAGACTGGATCAAAAACCCCACAGACCAGGAAATTAACGTGAGAGTTAAAACGTTTTAGGTGACTCTTTTTGCCTTGCTATTCTGTAACATTGTTGATATTGTGGTAAACATCAGTATAAGCACTTTCCAGTAAGATGTCTACAACTTCCATTTGATTTTATTTGGGATAGCTGCTGTTACTGTCAGAAAGAACAGCTAGGCTTTATGAAACATCTCTGGAACCCAAGGAAAGGGTTTCAGCACTAAACAGCTAAACAATGAGAGCCTCAGAAGAATTTTCACTGGAATCCTGTTTATGCCCTTTTAAAAAATTTATTTCTCTTTGTACTTCATTTGGAATGTTCTTTGAAAACTTGTGAGCTTGAAAAGTATGTGACCCTTCCTGCAGATTGCAGTGGGTTATCAGTGGAAATAACATCCTTTCTTGTATGGTCCTTTCTGCAGTACAAAGCCCCTTCAACCCCACCACGGAGCAGGATGAGCTCAGTTCTTCCACTCTTAAAATTTCCTTTCAGTAGTTCCAACTTCTGTTTCTCTGTGTTACTCTCTATTTCTGCTTCAGAGCTTCTAAACCATTTTAAAAGCACATTTTTCCTTGCCTTGTTTTGCAGCATATTTCTTTGGTTGTTACTTGGGGAGGAATAGAGTGATTGAAACCATTTAAATAGAGCAATAAATCAGAATTTGGTGATACATTTCAGCAGAGCTCTAACAGACTACCAGTTGGAAACAGACTCAACCCAAACCCCAGATACTTTAGCTACCTGAGAAATGGAGTAATTGCTTTGAGATGTTCTGCCTCAAGTGTCTGAATCTAATTGTCAAATGGAATTTACACACAAAGGGAAGGAAAATTGACCTTCAGCTGTGTGTTGGGTGGGTTGGCACGGGGAGTGCAGAGGTAGTGCTGGCAGCACACAGGACAATTCAGTTGCCCATAAATTTAATCAAATTGGTAATGAAGAACCAAATTAACTGATGTCTTGTCCAGTTCTCTGATCTGAGAAACGTTTTGGAAGTGCAGAGGTTTGAGAGCTGTGGTTTCACCTCTCTGCTTTGTATCAGTGGTTCCTTGTGCTTCACAGGACTCTCCCTGAATGTTGATTTCCAAGAGATTACTGGTGTGAACGTGGACTCTTGGTTGTGAGGCTGAAAGATTGCTCTGCCCAGAGATTAGACATACTAATAGGTTAGATATTCATGTTTAGCTGATGTTTATAACAACAAATAACCTGATATATATTGATATTTATTTTTATTTTTGCATGAAAAAGAATTAGGACTAAACCACACAAAACCACGGCAGTTATTATTCTTTGAACTTTTCAGATGCCTTGCAATCCATTAATAAAGCAAAGAAGAACTTTTGCATCTTGCAGCATTTGGTTTCAGCTGTCACGTGTCACTCCTGGTTCCAACTTCATCTGACTCAGTGCCACTTGCTTTTGAAGTATCCACTGAGAACACTCTTAGAGAGAAACTGGTGGCTTTTTTTTTTTTCTCTTTAAATATACTTTAGCTCAACTTTGTTCTCCTTGCAGCTGTTAGATTTGAAAGTATATTTTGAAGAAAAAAAATAACTCCAGCAGCACCACAGTTCCTATCTGCTGGGAGCAGCTGCTTTCGGCACTTCAAAGCCAGTGGACACCACAGTGGAGGCCTCAGCCTTTCCTGCCTTTGAAATGGTTGCAGTATCTATACTCAGGCTTTATGGCACTGTCAGCACAGGAAAAAAGGTTGTTTGGTTTTTTGCACCCCCTCCCTTTTTGCTTTTTGTCATTTTTCCCCCTTACTTTCTAATTACATCCTCAGTTTAGCTCAAAATACCTGACAAACGTTTCTGCTGAAATCATTTTCCACAAGCCCAAATGCTTGAAGGAGCACGTGCCCAAGCTTTTCAGTAGTGGATTTTAGTCAAATTTGACAGAAAAGTGAAGGAATTTGCTTTTTTCCCCATATCCATATCAGTTGGACACTTTCTGAGAGCACAGCAAAGTGAGTGGTGATTCCACAGCAGAGTCCCCATGGTAGGACAGCACCTCATGGTTTCCCAGCAGAGTCAATTCATACTCACCTTTGTTTCAAGCAGATTTTCCTAAGTTATCACGAATGGAACACTCTCAGTGAACTTTTGGAGATCTTAATATTTAAATGGCATTAGCCATTTTTTTAAAAAAAAGGCCAACCAATTATGATCACTGTTACACCCATTTTTTTTGCTATAAATAGTTGCTGAAATGCTGTGGCTGAGTGAATGTGAAATTACTGAGATGCAAGATTAGCAAGAGAGCCAAAGTCTAGGAAATTGTGTTTTCCTACCAGGGAGAGAACACACTCTGAAACAGCTGATGAATTACTGTGATAGCAGGATGGTGTTGCCTGTTGAGTTATGGCCATACTTTCTGACATTAGATGCCAACCTCAATGTACAAATAAGCCTTTTGGTTTGGTTCATCTTTAACTGTGTGTCTTCCACTTAAAAAGAATTGTTCATGGTTCCATAGGGAAGTGGAAAGCTGTTACGTGAGAGCTGAAGGTTCTCCCTGTATCTCAGGAAATCCTTTCATGTGATATGTATTGTTGAGTTCTGACTTCTGTGAAACTTGAGAAGAAATAATTAGAGTTGTCATCTTGTCTATTTAGCCACATAGGAAAGAAAGAGGACACCTTCAGAAATATTGGGTACTTAACAGAGTCACTTTGAAATCATGCTAAAGATGAGTAAATGGTCTTTGTCATCTTGAACTGACTCCAGCATCACACTTCAGCCTTCAGAGGCATTAGCTGGACACACGAGTAGAGATAACAAGCTTAAGCTTAACCTTCAGCTCTCTGTCCCTGTATCTTTGCTCTGTTAAGAGTTGCTGCCACTGCACTTCGATTCCAGCTTTCCTTCTGGCCTCATTCTTCCTTTTCTGTTTCTACTCTTTGTCCAATCTGTTACCCACTTGAGTGAAAAAAGCACTTGCAAAAACCTTCTTGAAATCTGCTGTTCCTCAAATGGACCAACATTCCAGGCGTTTCCTAGCTGTGCTTGAACCAGTTCAGTTATATGCAGAGATTCATAATCCATTTTTAGTGCTGGTCTAGTTACAAGGACACAGTCTTTGTGCAAAGCTTTGTTCCCCTCCTCTTTGTCTGTAGTCTCAGATAATTGAAATACAATCTGTTCTTGCAAGGAGGCCAAATGAGCACGTTACTAGAAGCTCTAAATTTTTCATGTCATCAGCAACAAGCTGCATAAATTTCATTTAATAAATTAATCTAGGATGCATAAATGTTTCCTTTGAACCATACTAACACACAGACAAATGCCATTTGTGCAGAATATCTGAGGAATAATTTCTTCAATCAACATCAACTTTTTGCTTTATAGCTAAAACTCACAAATGGGAAAAGGAGATGAG